AGAGCAGGGCAGGGACTCAAACCTAAGTGGCCTAGTTCTGGGATCCCTGCCCGTAACCCTGACTCTCCATTTACTACCAGCCACTCCTCCCCAAATCTCCTTTCCAAACAAGAAACACTAAAAGACAGAATGACATAAAGAGCCTTGCGTGTTGGTCACCTGGACAACAGAAAGCCCCTATTTTAAGAATGTTATTGATGGTGTTATCAGTGACATGACCCTCATGTGCCATCATGTTGAAACCGGAGCAGCAACTGTTTCCCCTCATCTGGATTCAGCCAAGAGTCACTGGCCATCGAGAACCAGCTAACACTGAATGCATCAGAGCCGACTTCCACATAGATCCTTTCCTGGGAATATGCTTAGGGGCTCCGCCAAAACCTCAACAGGGGACATGGTAGATGACAAAGCTCGGGTGCCTGTGCAGTAATGCGTCCTCACAGGAAGTGGTGATGCCTTTGTTTCATTCCCTGCTGTCTCTGGCTTAAGTAGAGTCCTTGTCTTGCTTTCTTCACACCATACACTGGAACCTCTGGAAATAACTGAGCTAGTCATGCCCCTAGCACAGCACCTAACACAGAGCAAGAATTCAAATCTGTGGAGTGAGTGCACAGTTCTGGCTGCCGTTTTAAAACACCTTGGGGACACTACCTTCATCACAACCTCAGAAATCTTTAAGGAAGATAGCTATTAATTTTGCCTGACGTTCTACTAGATCATCAAATTCTAACAATCAAAATTCTCTATTAAAAATTGTTTCAGAGTAAAACAAAATCAACCAAGGCAAGCAAACAATAAAATCATAATATGTGTATGGTATTTTACAGATGCATTCATTCCAAGACACATCTCCCAGCTTCTACTCACATCTGCTAAACAGTTTCACACAGAAATTCTTTTTAGTTCTCTTCTATTGATATTTAATTTCTACTAAAAATACAAAAAATTAGCTGGGCACAGTGGCACGTGCCTATAATCCCAACTACTCAGGAGGCTGAGGCAGAATTGCCTGAACCCAGGAGGCAGAGGTTGCGGTGAGCTGAGATTGCGCCATTGCACTCCAGCCTGGGTAAAAAGAGCGAAACTCCATCTCAAAAAAATAAAAATCCACATACATCGGGCAGGGCACAGTGGCTCACGCCTATAATCCCAGAACTTAGGGAGGACAAGGCAAGTGGATCACATGAGGTCAGGAGTTCAAGACTAGCCTGACCAACATGGTGAAAACCCATCTCTACTAAAAATACAATTAGCCAGGTGTGGTTGTATATGCCTGCAATCCCAGTGACTCAAAAGGCTGAGGCAGGAGCTTGAACCCAGAAGATGGAGGTTGCAGTGAGCCAAGATCGCACCATTGCACTCCAGCCTGGGCAACAGAGCAAGATTCCACCTAAGAACAAAAAAAATCCAAATATATCAATTCTCTGATGTAAGCGAAGTTCTTTCCTCATCTTTGTTTTCATTACATAAACAAATGATCTCCCACAGTAGTTACTGCTGTTCTCTAGTCTAGTCAATGATAAACATTGGGATAGGGTTAGCAGGTGGGATCCAGCTTTTCTTCACCATCTTCTTTGCAGTAAATGAAAGAACCTTATACAAGATAGGTGCAGGTGAGAAAAAAAGAATGAAGGTGGTCATGGACAATGAAAACTGGTTAACCATCCAAAAATTATCAAGAAATTGACCGTGACTCAGACAGAAACTCATGCATGTTTTAATAGAACACAATATACAGAGGAGCTTGAATAACCAGAAAGATGTCTAGTAACAAATACTCCTCATAACCATGTGCTGCGTTCCAAAATGCATCGGAAAATAATGGACAATTACTAATACACACATTTCAGACAGCAAATAAAACTGAAATGGTTTAGGAAGCAGTCATCTCTCACATTGATGTTGAAATTATGTAAGAATGTATTTTCATGTCTAGAATCTCAAACTAGTGAGTCATTTCCCTGAACTCCATCAAGTAAATACATATTCTCCCCTCTTTACAGGTAAGGGAAAGCTGAAATAGGAGAGGATTTTTTTTTTTTTTGAGATGCAGTTTCACGTTTGTTACCCAATCTGGAGTGCAATGGCACAATCTTGGCTCACTGCAACCTCCGCCTCCTAGGTTCAAGTGATTTTCCTGCCCCAGCCTCCTGAGTAGATGGAATTACAGGTGCCCGCCACCATACCCAGATCATTTTTGCATTTTTAGTAGAGATGGGGTTTCACCATATTGGCCAGGCTGGTTTCAAACTCCTGACCTCAAGTGATCCACTGGCCTCGGCCTCCCAAACTGCTGGGGTTACAGGCGTGAGCCACCATACCCGGCAGGAAATTTAAAGTTATGCATGTAGTGACACAGCACCAACTATTTTAGAGTCTGGGATTTACGTTGGTAAGATATCTGTTGGTGTAAACAGTATCCCAAACCTGGCAGGATGCCTGCAGGCGCATTACTTTCAGTGGCCAAGCTGTGCTGTGGCATGGGGTTTGTGATGGCAGTGAGATGAATGATGCCTACAAGAGGCTTACGGCACTGCTCTCCTATCACAACAAAGTGAGCCTTTAAAATACTATGTATTTATAGCTGCGTTTGGCAATACAAAATATATATACATGTGCAAACTTTATCACATATGTATGAAATAACTTTTTATCACCAATTTTTAAGATCCATATTTTCCTTTATTGCTGAATTAATGACGCACCAGTAATCCCAATAACATAAGTCAGAATTCTGAAAATACCATAAAAAGACAAAAATAAATAAAAAAACAAAAAGCAGGAGTTGCAATTCTCACATTTGATAAAACAGATTTCAAAGCAACAAAGATACAGTGGTAAAAGGATCAATGCAACAATAAGAGATCTTAATACCCAGATACATAAGACCCATAATGAGATTTAGACTCAACGAGACAGAAAATTAATAAGGATATCCAGGACTTCAACTCAGATCTGGAACAAGTAAACGCAATAAATATTTATAGAGTTCTCCATTTTAAATACACAAAATATTGATCGGCCATTATTAATACCCATTTTTAGAATGAAGCAATATTCCTGTTCTCTCTCCCTCTTTTTCTTCCTCTTTCTTCCTCTCCTTCTTTTTTTATTTTTCAACATCCTAGTTCCTCACCTCTACTCAATACAAAAAAAAAAATTTTTTTTTCTTCCTCCAATTGTTAAAACCTTTCAAGATCCCAAAAAATAACGTTAGGTGCAGAAGAAACTTCACTGACTGCATTTCTTTGAATATCTTCAAGTTACCAGTCTATCTTTTTTAGATGTCTTTCTTAAAAAATAAAAAAATTTAAAAAAAGACATGAAGTATTCTCGCCTGCTGGAGACATAGAATACCAATAGCACCTTTTTTTAAAAAAAGACATGAACATTATAAAATTGCAGAACATATCTTATATATTCACATATAAAATCAGGAGTTGATAAGAATTTGAATGGAAAAACGGATGTGTTTCATCAATATCAATCAATGTTTTACTGGGACTTTGTTCCACATACTCGATTTCCCTCAGTACATTAGAAGTACTTCAGCTTTCTATTTGAAGTGGTTTCCTTAAAAATAACTTTTTCCTGCTCAGGATAACCAGGTATTATTACAGTATACATAACAACAAGGAATATGTCTTTGACCTCATGTATGACTCCCCAATTGCTACAAGACTAGATTTACTTTTCATACGCAAATTGGAAAAGATGTCAAATACTGATAATACTGAATAGTTGTAGCTACTACTCTAAACTGAGTAATTTAGTGATCGTATAGACAAGCCCTCTGTCACAGTTGAATGAAGTGTTTTAAATTCAGTTAATTACATGAATATTTGACCTACATATCAAATATCTGAATGCTGGAAATTATAGTTTGACCAAAGTACTAATTTTCACTCTAATGATTGGATGTTACATAGTCTCTATATAATGTCAATTATACTAAGTTATAACATAATTTCAAGTTACCTAATTTTTAATCAAAAAGTACCAGTTACTCCTACTGAAAACTGGCCCAAAAAGAGGGGGAAAAAAATCTTGCTTATAAAGCAAGCTATGCAAAACTACAAGGACATTGTAGCTTTCCACCAGATATGGAATGTCTGCCGAGAAAACATTTTACTCAATCTTCAATCTAAATACTTCAGAAACAAATTAAGGTTAAAAGTTATTTTACTATGCCCTTGAAATTATACACATGAAATACTACTTTGATAGATGTTTCTCTCTGCGTCTATAATGAGCACATTTTATCTTTCTATATATTTTTTTTATTTTTTAAGAGATGTGGTCTCGTGCCGTTACCCAGGCTGTAGTGCAGTGGTATGACCATGGCGCACTGCAATCTCAACCTGCCGGGCTGAAGCAATCCTCCCACCTCACCCTTCCGAGTAGCTGGGACAACAGGTGCACACCATCACACCTGTCTCATTTAAAATTTTGTTTTTATAGGGTTCTTGCTATGTTGCCCAGGCTCATCTTGAACTTGACCATATCTCCTTCTATGACCAGTCTAGTTAGATTACTTGCTCGACGCAGACCTATTCAAAGAATTATGAACAAAGCAAAAAATAAAGCTTATGTAACCCATATTAAGATTGTTGCCACTCTAAATTTTAAAAATCACACGGAAATGAAACAAATGAAAAACTATCAGTAGGTATGGTGTAAGAATTAGCGAGATCGGCACTTTCATTCACCAACTTAGTTAATTGCAGGCATTTGACATGTTTCACTGAGATATTTAATGATGACAGAGTTGCCAAGAAAATTAACATCTGTCATGCATCTTATAAATTACAGATGAGTTTATATAACCAAAGGAATCTACTGCTTCAGAGTTTTGACTATCTTCGTGTATTCTTTTAAACCTTTGCTCAATGTTTAGGGGAAAATATGGCAAAGAATGCAGGGCCAGTGATTAGCCCACTTTATGTACTAGGAGACTGTTGGTGAATTTTAGGGTCAAAAAATGTTGAACAGCACAGCCATTAGAGACAGTGAGAGATTTTATTTTTTTTTACTTTCATCCAAACACACCCTTTTCTGAAAAACATAAAAGCATGCACATCGATGACATTCTTATAAAGAAAAACAACTCAGCTGTAAATCAATGACAACACAACCAAAAGTTGAAACGATATGTGAAAAGATTTACAGGCATAGGGCTCTTAACAGGAGAAAATAACTCAAGGCAATGTGAACACAGGTTAAGGAGAAGCGTTTGACTTTCCAAACATTTTGATACAAATTTTTTTTCAACTACCATATTTTATAGACCTTTTGTGAGAAGATTAGTATAGTTTTAAGAAACGTAACCATTAAAGTGATTTTAGGCAGGTTAGGCTGCCTTGTTAAAATGAGTCAGAATCCACATAACTCCAATAGTATTGCCTCTCGAAATTCAAATTTAGAGCATATCCATTATATTCAAAATATGTTAAATTCCTGTACTTTAAAATGACATGGAATGGATCTAAATTTTAGCTTACAGGTAAGAAACAATTACAATGCAGCATGAGGAAACTTTTCTTAAGTTTATCCATACCCCCATTGATGATTAGGCCACCTGTATCCTGAGTGAACATGGATGTGTGAATATATGTACATTCTAATGCATACACACCACTTCACACCACATGACTCTTCAAAGACACTGCTTGAAAGTTAATTCTCTGGCTTGGGAGAAGCAGAGTAACAGTCACTTAATTTTCCCTTAATCATTTTTCATTTTGTTTATCACGATCCAGTTGGTATGTTTCATGTGGCTCACTGATACATTTTTGCTACAAAATCCAGTAGCAGTAAGCAGAAATGTTAAAGGACTATGAGGAAATCCAAGTTTAAATTATAACACAAAAAAAGAGTAGTCCCCACTGAAAGGTCTTCTTCCCATGGTTCCAAGGCTGAAATTCATGATTCGGTTCCTGGAACACCGCTCTTGCTCTAAGGTGATACATATGAATGTGTCGCTCCATTAAAACTAATGGGAAATGAACAAATCCGCTCAGTCCTGATGAATCCAATCTATATTTCATTGGTTTGACAAGGTGAATTTTTTGACACAGACAAATGCAAAATGCCTCTGCAGTGGCTGGTGAAGCCCGCCGGCAAAGGCTTAGTGAGTTGACCTCGGACAGCAGCAGCATGGGCTGGCTCTGTATTTCCTCCGAGCAAGTCTGCGTGCAAGCCGCTGAGCAGCACCACTGACGGGGTCCATGGGTAAAGAAGCAGAGCCCAGTGGGAATCCAGCACGTACAGAAACGCGACTTCTGAATTCACACTCCGTTAAATCAAAGAGACATAGGCAAAAGGCACATGCTAGTAAATCTAGGCAGAATGTCTGCAGGCTCCCATCACCTTAAATATCTTGTGAACTTAGGGTCCAACCAAGGTTCACACTGACTATTTTGATACTTAAAAATACCCAAAACCTTAATGTTTTCAAGCACTTATGGCACAGACATAGGGAAGTACTAACAGCGTAGCTTAAATCTTCAAAAAGCTGGGAAATTTAAAGTTCTGCTACAATGAATCAGAGTCACAATTTTAAACTTCATTCTCATATTTTATACCATTTTTGTGTGTACAGGGTGTGCAAATTAAGCAATTTCAATAAATATTAGAAATTTATTTTGCAAATATGAGTAAAATCAGCTGATAATGCAATACAAATAAAATCATGTGCTAAACAGAGCTTTTCCCACAAATATTTTTTACCCTTTCCGTTTAACATCTTGACACTTCCTTTTTCTTTTTTCTTGTTTGTGTTTGAGACAGAGTTTCACTCTTGTTGCCTAGGCTGGAGTGCAATGGCACGATTTTGGCTCACTGCAACCTCTGTCTCCCAAGTTTAAGCAATTCTCCTGTCTCAGCTTCCCAAGTAGCTAGGATTATAGGCATGTGCCACAAAGCCCAGCTGATTTTGTATTTTTAGTAGGGACAGGGTTTCTCCATGTTGGTCAGGCTGGTCTTGAACTCCTGACCTCAGGTAATCTGCCCGACTTGGCCTCCCAAAGCCCTGGGATTACAGGCATGAGCCACTGCACCCAGCTGACACTTCTTAAATACAGTTTCTTTCACTGACTTGTAGAAATTAAGCAAAACATGAAATATTACCTAGCTGCAAGATACTAAGTACTTTAGTATAAGAGTTTGGAGCTGTCAAATGGTAATAAATTGAAAATAACAGAGTGAAATATGCTGCTAATTAATGCTCAAAAATGCAGCCATCTGACTTACAAAATATACAGTCCTCCTAGCCTTCTGAAGTTGTCATTAGCGCGTGGGAAATTGAAAGAGCAGGAGAAACTCCATTGAGCTTTTACCCTTCCAGCAGCCCCGGTGCTAAGGTTGTATCACCACATTTGTTTGCCCAAGACCATTGCATATCAACTTTCGTCACAATTTCTATTATATCCAATGTTCAACCAACAAGGCTTTATTTACACTCCTTATTAAATTCAGGAAACAATTTGATGTCATGTGCAGCTGCCAAAAATAGGCAATGTAGCACATCCCACTGTCTGGAGACAGCTACTTGTTTATGGTTTGATAGTAATCCACAGGCAGCCAAGTAGGGTTCCGTATATCCACGTGTTCACATACAGCTTCCTTCCAGCCTCGGTCATAAGCATGCCTGTAGTCAAGCCACTTAAGATCAACATTGATGGTAAAGTCTTCTTCATACTTAACTTGGAATGAACACTTTTCCCAGGAAATCTGTTTCTTCTTTCTGGATCTGGTGACTCATAAAATTCTATAAGCATCCTATGGCCGGAATGAAAAAAGTCTGTATTTTAGTCACTTCAGTATTTCAATTAAAAAAAAATATCAATTAGGTAGCTATTACATGCTGGAAAAGTTACTCAGGTCCTTGGAAAATAATGATGAATAAGAAAACATCCAGAAACTTGGTTTAATAGAAGTTTCCAGTCTTTTAAAATATCTTTAATATGCTCTATGATTAGCATATATGAATTATATATATAATATTTCAACAGCCATTTTATGAGGATGCTGTTTATTTTTTAAACTTTTGATCTATAAAGTTTTGCAGTGACCTAACCCACAAATGGCTAATAACCTGCTGCAGCTTCTCCTCCTTTTCACAGAGAGCTCCTATTCCATCAGAAGTCAGACAGGACCAGCAGTTCTCAGCTGTCCCTCTGTATCCATGGGAGGCTGGTCCAAGGATACCCAGCAGATACCAAGATCAAAGGATGCTCAAGTCCCTGACATATGAATAAAATGGCATAGTATTTGAATAAACACATGTGCATCCTTCCCAAGTCCTCTTTTTTTGAGACAGGGTCTCGCTGTGTTGCCCAGGCTGGAGTGTGACACAATGATGACGAACTGTATAATGATCACTTGAGGCTGGGAGTCTCAACCTCCCAGCCTCAAGTGATCCTCCCACCTCGGCCTCCTGAGTAGCTGGGACTACAGGTGCCCGCCTGGCTAATTTTTGTATTTTCTGTAGAGACAGGGTTTTGCCATGTTGCCCAGGCTGGTCTCGAGCTTCTGGACTCAAGCAGTTTGCCCACCTTAGCCTCCCAAAGTGCTGGGATTACAGGCATGAGCCACCACACCCAGCTCCCTTCTTTTCTGAATGTTTTTGACCTGTGCTTGGTTGAATCCATGAATGTGGAATCCATGGATACCGACTGCTTACTGCACCTGGAGTATCTCAAAGAAGCCTCTCTTCCCATGGAATTATAAAGGCAGATAAAAGAAGGAAAACAACATAGTCAATTCATTTTCCCATCTTACATAAAATCTGTAAAGTTATAATAGCAGAACATGCCCAACATAATCATCTAAAACACAAAAATACAGAAAGGGAACACACTTCCATTGCTTTATAAATCACATTCCCTAGTGATAGTCATTGTATTAAAATGTTCAGACTCGTTCTAAATACTTATAAATACTCATAAAATAAGTAGGACGTTAAATACATTAGTCTTTTTTCTGAAAACACGTTTTCATGTTGATACATGTAGATCTTACTTTTAAATTTCTTCCATGGACAAAGAGGTCCTGAATGGCTGGCTTAATAAATTACGTACAGTTGAGAGTCAATGAAAACAGAAACTTAAAATTTCATTGTTAACCTATTATACTTTTAATAATTTTCACCCAGGAAGGTTAATTTAAAACATTTTACTGTAAAACAAGGAAAAGAACAATGATATTTTCTTAAGAAGAAAATATATGTTAAGAGAATAAAACAATTGGCCAAAATTGTTGAATATAATTAATCACAGTAGACATTTTGGATGTAACACTGTCAACCGCTCCTTCTTTCTGCAGTAAATCTAACAGCATCGTGTCCACCCGTACATCAGCACAGTCCTCTGCCCCACCCTGGTTTTCGGCACACACTGGCCCAGCAGCTGGTCCTCACACGGTACCACCACTTTATCTGACCTGAGAGGTAGATCCGGGCATCTGACACTGGAAAGGTTTTTTGTGTGTGTTGTTGTTTTTAATTTAATTTTAGATGTTATCCCATAGTGTTGCCCAAGAAACACTATCAGTGAAAGCAGATGGGCCCCTGTCACAAGTCCTTTGACAGTGATTTGTACAAGTAAAGTTAAAAACAGGATCAGATATGCCTAAGATTTGACTTCAATTTGTAAATCACATTCTTGAGACAATAAAACTATTTACACTGGTTTCAAATGGTTGACTAAACTGAAATCTAGTTGAACCAAAGTTTCTATCAGCGGTTACTCACTTGTCTTTGATTTCGAAACGTTCATGCAGCCATCTTCTCATACGTTCTTGTTCTTCCGGGACATCTTTTTTGTCAATACGATCAATGTGAATATGAATTTTTGGAGATTCTTTGCAGAGAAATTCTAACAAAGAACAAAAGTATTTCTTTTTTTACTATTTTAGAACTTATGGTCATATAAAGTAAAATAATGAAAATAAGGTAATGGGACAAAAAAGTTGTAAAATGATGAAAAAGTACAGATTCCTTAGCAAAAATAAATAAAAGTTAAAAAAATAGGGATTATAAACTGGTAGTTGGGGTTTCAAGTTGAAGTTGAGGAGCATGTCATCATTTCTAAGTCGACTACAATGACATAAGTGATTTAGTTAAATCAACAGTACCAAATGTTATTTTCATCTGACCACTTTCAGTGCTGTAGGCATCCCAGGAACAGGAAGCTGGTCCTCGTCTAAGTCCATCCCCATATTTCTGCAGGGATCCCCAAATGCCTACCACCACCAGCACCCATCTTAGTGTGTCACCTGCCACCCCTTAGTGTATTGCCTGTCACAGTGACTGCTGCTTCCCCACCAGACTGTGAGCTCCACAGGGGCTGAGAGGAAGCCAGTCTGGCTCATGATGGCACTTCCTGACCTGGCACACAGCTGGGCACTCACAGGCGCCTGACAAGCCTCAACCCCTCGCTCTTCACCTGACAACACAGCTTCTTGTCGCTCACTGCTACACAGCCACAACAAACTTGGGGGAGCAACTGCCCCTCCCAACTTGGCCATTGGTTTCTAATCATTGCCACTCCTTGCTTTCCTGATGCTTGCCATATCTTAACATAGTATATAATTGGTAAAAGAACCAAAATTCTTACACGGATATGGCAAGCCCTGTAAACAACTGTACTTCTTAAGATTTGATAATTTGATAAAAGGAGATAGTCTTTTTCAACCTCGGCTCAAAAGGGATGAGGCTACATTACTTATTCCAGGAAAGAACTTTGAGCCTAGAAACTCCCTTCTTGGCAAGTGGCTCTCTGTGAAAAGGTAAGAATGTTAACATATTTAAGTTCCTTGGAGAACAAAGAAATATTCCTAAGATTTAAAAGCAGACTAAGGTAGGGAGGTATGCTGAGAGGGAGGCTGAGACCTTTTACCTCAAATTGAAAATGTGTTCAAAGACGTGTTCTGAGAAATGATGAATCCTACACTCCACCGTCTGAAGACTTGTCCTTGCTCTTTCAAACCACACACTTCCCTTTTTTGCTAAGTACTCTCTGCAGCTGCTCTTCCTGACTTCAGTGTCGAGCTCTGAGGAACATGCAGCATTTAGATGACCAAAAACACCGTGTATTCTTACATGCTTCCAGGAGTGACCTGGCTTTCATAATAATACATGTGCAAAACACTAAAAGAAGACTTTCATTTTTCAGTATTTTTTCTTAATTTTCCTAGAGTTCTATCATCTGAATGATCAAAGGACTGCTTAAACAGTACTGTAAGCAGCAGAAGTGTGCCCTGGGTAAGAGCATACACGGTGGGGTCAGGTGGGGGTCTTCGCTTCTGTGGTAACACTGGACAACTCTGCTGGCCTCTCTGTGCTAAGTGTCCAAGTTTATAAAGTAGGAATAATAATAATAACACTACTTGATAGGGTCATAAGAAGAAGATGTCAAGCACCCACAGGAGTGCCTGGCACACAGTATGTACTATGTGTTAGCTATTATAGTATTCCGGCATATTACTTCTCACCCTATCTTACTTCTATTTCTGATACATAAAAAGACAGATTCCAATACTAATTTTCCTACCTTGACTGAACTATCTAAATCTCCACTTCGACATTTCCGTAAGTAATATTTAGTCACCACTGCAGTTACCCATTATTTCATGTGCTGGCATGCAGACTGTAAGGAAGATGTAACACTACATTTCAAATGGCAAATAGAATGCTGTGCAGTCATATGCTCAGGACATGGCCGTACCTCGACTAAGATATCAGCTTTGGAAGAAGAGGCACTGATGCTGTGAGGAAAGGACTCTGAAATTCGCATGGGTCCGTTTGTTTCTCCTAAAACTTACATGTGCTTTGGCGCTTACACAGCATGCTTTTGAGTACGTTAATTATTTCATGAGATCTCTGTAATTCTACGCAGGCAAGTGCTATTATTATCTCCTTGTAAGATGAGGAAACTAAGTCTCAGAGAGGACTGAGGCCCAGCGTAGTTGGGGTGGAGTTATAACAGCCAAGTCCCCAGGGTTCAGGACCCAGACAGGAACTATGAGGAGCATGCAACAAAGTGGAAAGCAGTTCAATGTCAAATGCCATTGAGGAGGTTTTAATACTGAAGGCAGGAAATAAGTGGCATGTATATTCCTACAGATTTAATAAAGGACTTATATATCCACATTTGCAAAAACTATTCTAGGTGAAATATTTTAGGTGATAGGAACTCATAATTCACATCACATGAGTCAAAATTACCCTATAGTACCCTTAAGGAATCTAGGAAAAAATACTGTAAGGTCTAATTGTTTTTCTACCTATAAATCTCTAGTAGAGCACTAAAGTACATTGCTATACCTGGGCAATACAGCAAGTCTCCCAAATGCTTGCACAGGTCACAGGTCTACTTAGGGCTACCAAGCCCGATTTGCTCTGAAGGCAACACAAAGAAAGTGGGAGTGGAGGCGGCCTCTGGCATTCAGCCCTCCCACACCACTGCCCACTGAGAACCTGCCCCCTTTTCTTCTGAAAAAAAAACAGGACCCACGTCTAACAGGAGGAAGCTGGGTAGATAACTGTTAGTTCACATCAATGAACACTATATAGTCTCTTTAAAAAAAACGTTTTGGAAGTATATATATTGACATGTACCGTTGTTCATGACACACAAGAAAATGTGAAGAACAGGAGATACACACATGCACCACACACACACACACACATACACACACAATCTCATCTTTAAAAAAATACATAAAGGCGCATACTCTACCCAACAGACAGACATTACTAAAGAAAGGATTTAAGGGAAAATATCAAGATTGTTAACTGGGGTTGCATCTGGACGGGCGGACTTGCTGAGTTTGGGTTATCTTTTGGGTTATCTGTAATCCCCCTTTCCTGATCCATATTTTTAAATATAAAAATATTACTAGAAATGGAAAATATATATTTTATAATATGAAAACATTGATAAAAAAACTAGGATCATATAGAATACTTAATAGATTATCAAATGTTGTCCTTAAGCACATAATTTATTATAGTACGCTAGCCACTTCAGAAATGGGATTTTTAAAAAATATATATATTTATTGTGTTTTAGGTTTTGGGGTACATGTGAAGAACATGCAGGATTGTTGCATAGGTACATACATGGCAATGTATCATCATTCTCTAATGACCAATGCTGCCTTCCTCCCCATCACTTATATCTGGTATTTCTCCCCATGTTATCCCTCCCAACTCCCCCATCCCCCACTGTCCCTCCCCTAGTTTCCCCCAACAGACCACAGTGTGTGATGCTCCCCTCCCTGTGTCCATGTGCTCTCATTGTTCAACACCCGCCTATGAGTGAGAATATGCGGTGTGTGATTTTCTGTTCTTGTGTGGTTTGCTGAGAATAATGGTTTCCAGGTTCATCCCTGTCCCTAGAAAGGACATGAACTCCCTACAAAGGCTGCATGGTATTCCATGGTGTGTATGTGACACATTTTCCCAGTCCAGTCAATCATCGATGGGCATTTGGGTTGGTTCCAAGTCTTTGCTATTGTAAACAGTGCTGCAATGAACATTCGTGTGCATGTGTCCTTACAAAAGAACAATTTATAATCCTTTGGATATATACCCTGTAATGGGATTGCTGGGTCAAATGGAATTTCTATTTCTAGGTCCTTGAGGAATTGCCACACTGTCTTCCACAATGGTTGAACTAATTTACACTCCCACCAACAGTGTAAAAGTGTTCCTATTTCTCCACATCCTCTCCAACATCTGTTGTCTCTAGATATTTTAATGACTGTCATTCTAAGTGGCATGAGATGGTATCTCAATGTGGTTTTGATTTGCATTTCTCTAATGACCAGTGATGATGAGCATTTTTTCATATGTTTGTTGGCCTCATATATGTCTTCTTTTGAAAAGTTCATAACTGTTCATAACTGTCATCTACTGTTGAATGGGTTTGTTTTTTTCTTGTAAATTTTTAGTTCTTTGTAGATTCTGGATATTAGCCCTTTGTCAGATGGGTAGATTGCAAAAATTTTTTCCCATTCTGTTGGTTGCTGATTCACTCTAATGATTGCTGTTTTTGCTGTACAGAAGCCCTGAAGTTGAATTAGGTCCCATTTGTCTATTTTGGTTTTTGTTGCCATTGCTTTTGGTGTTTTAGTCATGAAGTCCTTGCCTGTGCCTATGTCCTGAATGGTTTTGCCTAGATTTTCTTCTAGGTTTTTTATGGTGTTAGGTCTTATGTTTAAGTCTTTAATCCATCTGGAGTTATTTTAGTGTAAGGTGTCAGGAAGGGGTCCAGTTTCTGCTTTCTGCACATAGCTAGCCAGTTTTCCCAACACCATTTATTAAACAGGGAATCCTTTCCCCATTGCTTGTTTTTGTCAGGTTTGTCAAAGATCAGATGGTTGTAGATGTGTTGCCTCTGAGGCCTCTGTTCTGTTCCATTGGTCTATATCTCTGTTTTGGTACTAGTACCATGTTGTTTGGTACCAGTAGGATGGTACCGTTTTCATTACTGTAGCCTTGTAGTATAGTTTGAAGTCAGGTAGTGTGATGCCTCCAGCTTTGTTCTTTTTGCTTAGAATTAGCGTGGCTATGCAGGCTCTTTTTTGGTTCCGAATGAAGTTTAAGGTGGTTTTTTCCAGTTCTGTGAAGAATGTCATTGGTAGCTTGATGGGGATAGCATTGAATCTATACATTACTTTGGGCAGTATGGCCATTTCATGATATTGATTCTTCCTAACCATGAACATGGAATGTTTCTCCATCTGTTTGTGTCCTCTCTTATTTCATTGAGCAGCGGTTGGTAGTTCCCCTTGAAGAGGTCCTTTACATTCTTTGTTAGTTGTATTCCTAGGTATTTTATTCTCTTTGTAGCTATTGTGAATGGCAGTT